TGAATGAATGTTCTAAAGAAAGAAACAGACTGTAATAATACACTGTGGCAATTTTCTAAAAGTATACACAAGTGCCAGCGCTCCTCAGTGAAAGTGTATTGTTACACAGAGTTTGAAACTCAACTTCTCCATAATCTAAGCTTCCTTCTACAACAACAAGGGGAAAAGTGGGTATCCTTTTTTGATCCGCACTTTTTGCCATTATTTTAACAATCACCTGATTCATCAGCTTGGAACCAAAAATGGTTTTAGTAGACAAATCTATGCTTAGGCCCAGGTAACTGGATATTTCCGAGAAGTAGGTACCAGAACTTTTGAAATAACTGTTATTTTAAGAATTATTTCACCATTATCTCACCATTTTTTAAAGGACTATAGCGCTTTTCACCATTATTTTAAGAATCATTTGATTCATCAGCTCAGAACCTAAAATGGTTTTGGCAGACAAATCTATGTTGAAGCCCAACTAACTGGATATTTCCAAGAAGTTGGTACTACAGCCTTTAAAATAACCATTACTTTAAAATTATTTCACCATTATTTTAAGAATGGTAGCAGTTTTCACCATTATTTTAAGAATCATTTGTTGGAGTTGGTTTTTGTGAGAGATGGAAAGTGCAGGTCTGCCGTCAGTCTTTTGTTTGAGTTGATTATTTTGAGAGATGCGAAGTGCGCATTTTTGTGAGAGGTGAAAAGTGTGGATCCTGTTTCAGTCTAGCAAGCAGTGGACCCTAAGAAGAAAACCCATTTCCTTCCTGCCATGTACAGTTTGTATAGCCTTGAGGAAGGTGCTAGATGACATCATAATGTCACAGGGAGGAATCAATGATTCCATACTGTGCATTGTGAAAGTATTACAAAGCACCAAGACCTTTACAAACATGGATCATTATTATTGCTATGTTCAATAGCCAAGAGGCTTATCATTCATCTGTCCTTTATTCATTACACTTACAGGAGTCAAATTTCATGGAAGCAAGTGAATATCTAGTTGTATTAAAAATTAATTTTTAATCTATTTCAGGTCTTAGATTTAATGCAAATTCATTCCACTATTCTACACCGAATGACCAAAAAATTTCCATAATAATGACATTGTATTTAAGTAGAATATGAAATTATGTTTATCAGCCTCTATAGTTCATTACATATAGAGAAACTAATTATCTCCTAGGTGCCAAGCACAATCCCAGACTATAAGCAACAGAGGTGAACAAAACATCAGGAATCACTTTGTCCAGAAGGAAAGAGAAGCATTATATTGATACACACGGCAAGGGTCATATATTTACAAGTTGTGGGGACTTTGAGGAAAGAACATAATGAATGCTCTGAGAGAGAAAAGCAGAGGCAGCCTCTGATATACAGTGTTCACAGAAGATCTCTCGGAGGAAGTATTAGCTGACATCTGCATGATAAGTAACAATTGTCCAGGAGAAGAGTTGGGGGAGAAAACTCAAAATACTGAAGACAACCTCTGAAATGGCCTCAAATAAGAAAAACCTTTGTGCAGTGGACAAATGGACAGGCATGGTGGAATGAAAGTGTCTGTTCTAGGGCAGAGAATGAAGGCATGACATTTTAAAAGGCTAGTCATCAAATCACTGGGGGCAAGATAAACTTCTTTGTGCCCCAGTTTTTTCATTTATCAAATTGAGCTAACAATAGCGCTTACTGTTAAGTTGAAATCAATTAATATGCATAGAGAACTTAAATTTGTGCCCTGCACATAACCAATGTTTGTACAAGTTTATTATTCTTATTATATTAATATAAACACATCTTGTTATTTTCAAGTTGTTGACTCAGTCATTAATGACAACTCAGAAAATGTAATTATGGTTAAAAGCATAATACAAATGTTTTAAACCTTGGCAAATAGCCCAGCTGAACAGAAATTGGTAGACAGGAAGGGAGAAGAAATGCAGGAAAAGTAGCAGTCTTGATAACTCATCTCACCAAGTAAGAGTCAAAGGCTAAAATCGCTAGATTAGAAAAAGGATAGCAGTGAAAGCTATTCAAAGTTACCAAATACAACCACAAAGGGAATTAAAAACAGAGATATAACTGTTGAGAAGAAGTAGGAAAGGAAGATAGCAGTGAAGGATAAATAGGCTAAATCCACATGAAGCTGAGAATTGCAACCACCTTCATCAGCATCACTTGGTTATTAGGACAAAAAACCAAGACAACCTTTGTCGAAAGGACTTAGTTGTTTGCATCAGAGAAACTTTGCCTGAAAAATATATTATTGTTCATCAGTAAATAACTTTCCTATTGCTCTCAGGAAATGCCAGTAGATCAATTATTCTGGGACAAGAGTTGTCTCAATGACTTACCTGGGAAAATGTTCTGCTTCTCAAACATTTTCTTACCCAGATTCATTTTAAGATCTTCATCTCACAAAGTAACAATCAATGCCCAATCTCAATTGCTTAAACCACTTGAGCGCAGATCCTCAGAACCTATTTAGATGTGTTCTGGCTTTCCCCTCTGGGACAGCACTAAAACACTCTCAGGGTGGTATTCTGCCTTAGTGAATTTAGCTTTGCTTTATTAACAGACTGATGATATTTTAGACTTCAACACAGCAAAAAGGCAAGAGATAAGATCTAATTGATAGTTCAAGAGATATTGGTAGAAAATAGTATTCGGAAGATTTGAAGGAAGCACCAAAAAGAGTACAGCAGAAATGTACAGAAATAGTCACTTCAGAAAAAGCAGCTTAGAAACGGTCACCCAAAGAAGGGAGAGTGAAAGCAGAAGACGGCAGCTTTTTATCACAAGATTTTATGCATTATTTCAGTTTCTTGACCTATGGATATTATTTTGACAAAAACTAAAAAAAAAAGACAGAAAGAAAAAGAAAATAATAGCAACATTAAATGAAAAGAGAGAAATAATTGAAAGCAAAAAACAGCAACAAAATCGTACCCGTCAGTTATCCAAGCTGTCAAACTCTGAAGTCAGGATTTTGCCTGATTTAACTTGGTTCTGCTGGTCCAGCATAATATCTGGCCTCTAGTCAGTATTCATTTAACATTTTTGTAACTTTATATAATTGATGTGTTGCTGAGTTCTCATTAAAGTCACAATGGTTAAAAATGTTTAAGTATCCTCAGTGGTTAAGATGCTGGCTTTTTATTATTATTATTGGTCTATTGATTTAAGTTTCAATTGCTCCAGGTGTCAATTTGGGGAGTAAATTTAGAGACCCTCCTTTAGGATCAGGATTAAATGGTCATGGAAAAGAAATGGAAATAATTAACCTTCTTATGTGTCCCTTTACGTTCACTATTGCTATGGACTGAATGTTTGTGTACCACCTCCCCCGCCCCAATATGTTAAAATCCCACCCCCCAATGAGTTGGTATAATACTAGGAGGTAAGGCCTTTGGGAGGTGATTGAGTCATGAGGGTAGAAGCCCCAAGAATGGGATTGGTGTGCCCTTATAAAAAAAAAGATGCAAGAAAGCTTGCTTTCTCTCTCTTTGCTCTTTGCTATGTAAGGCTACAACAAAAATATGAGCATTTGCACACCATGAAGCAGGCCCTTACCAGACAGCCAGTCTGCTGGCACCTTGATCTCGAACTCCCCAGCCTCCAGAACTGTGAGAAATTAATGCTTATGATTAGAGTCACCCATTCTATGGTATTTTTTTAAATGTAGAAGTCTGACCTAACTAAGACAATAGTGAATTCTTGAGAATTCAGTGCTGCAAACGTAAGTGTATTATAGCAGTTCCAGGAGTATGCTGCTTAGACATCCCTTTGGGAGAGAACCTTCCATGAGGAACCTATTAGCTAAGAATGTCCATCTGCTATACCATTCACACAGAGTATCTACTCTTCCTGGGCTATCCCCAGCCTATTTATTGAGTACAGTGAGGGAGCCAGAATCAGGTTATCCCTACGCAAAGCAGAGCTTGTTTTAATGAGCAATCTCTACTCGGGGCCTGCACGTTGACCTGGCCAAGACCTTCTCAGAGCTGTGCTGTGCTCTGAGGCTCCTGGTACCTCCCTCTTCCCTCTCTTCTTTCACAGGTGTCAGACCCACATTGTGGACTGCAGGCTTTCCATCCTGCTCCTTTTATCTGTCACAGGAATTTCCCCCAACACATCGTTCACATCTATTTCTTTGCAGCGAGCTGCTGCTCGGAGAACCTCAATGGCTACCCGTACAGAGTCAGGGACTTTGCCTACGGTGGTGAAACCAGATGCTTACACTCCCTTTCCTGGGAGATGGCAGTGTGGTCCTCTCCCCTCTTCTTTCTTACAAGGAACTTAAGAAACACGTGAAAGCCCTTTTGAAATCTTTCTGGTCAAATGGAGAGGTAGGGCTCTCAATTTGCCATGCTTCTTTTCTCTTGTCAGCTACTTAGGGCTCACATGGACATGTAGATAATAGACATCGAGGCAGCTCCTTTGCATTTTGGTAAATTTTCTAGTGAGAAGAGAGAGAGGACGTGCATCAGTAAAAGCACAGCTTGTACAACACAAATTATAAGAAAGAAAGCACTGTGTGTGAGTTACGGGCAGGGTTTGTGCCACTGTGATTGCCCCCAGCTGCAGGGAGTAGAGTCAGCAGACGGTCTATCATCTCCCCAGGGTCTTCCTCACGAGTTGCCCCCTCCTGGAGCAGCCCATAGCCTGAGAGTGAGTGAAGGGTGGCGGGTATAAAGGCCTGGTCATGTTTGCCAATTGGGGCTCAACTCTGATGGATGATGTAGTATTTACTCCAGAGCTCCCCGCTGGCTGGGCGAGACTTCTACAGGCCTCCCTTTCCATTGAACTTCCCCTCTGTCTTCCACAGGCATTGGTCCTTAATAAACATCTTGAGGGGTATATACACACCTAATGGGTGCAGTGCACACCATCTGGAGGATGGGCACGGTTGAAGCTCTGACTCGGGTGGGGCCAAGGCAATATAGGTAACCTAAACATTTATACCCCTGTAATATGCTGAAATAAAAAAAAACATTAAAAAACATAAACATCTTGAACCCCAAACTCTGTTTCAGCATATGATTCCAGAGAATCCTACCTGCAGCAGTCACTGAGTGTAAACATGAAGGAAAGGAAAAACAGAAAGACAATGAAAATGAATTTGAAGAAAATGTATTTGCAGGATGTGGGCGATAAAGGTAAATATAGATTTGTTGATTTCTTAGAAAACATTTTATCTATCTGGAAAGCTTGTTTGAATTATTATTGTTCACAGGTTATAGAGCGGAAAAAGCAATACCATTGGCCCACGGGGCCCAATAACACAGATACACACAGTGAGTTTTTCCTAAGACCTGGACACAGCCCTAAGTAGGAGAGACACCAGTTTGCCATAGCAATCACTTTTGTCCCCTCAAAGTACACTCTGACAATGGTGGCAAGTCAAATGAATATATTGTCAGTGAACATTGGAGGAACACAAAGCAAACAAGCTACCAAATGAAAATTTATAGGATGGGCATATCCTGAGGGCTCAGAGAGAAAGAGGCATTCGCAAGGGCTTTTTGAACAAGCGATTCTGGAGACAAATTTTGAAAAGCAAGTTTTGTGGACATGAGTGAGGCATGAGAAATGGTTAGATCACTCCTGGCTCTAAGCTGAGAAGGGGGAATGCTGTCAGCGGCACGCTGCACCAGCACAAACAGGTTTACCTAGAGAGCTCAGGCAGTAGCATCTTTCCAGGGTTAAGGTGTGGCTCATGGAAGTGGGTTCCCATCCAGGCTCTGTCCTGGCTCTGTTACATAGCAGTTCCATCATCAACCTCTCCAGATTTGAACTTCCTCATCACTCAAACAGGGTTAATAATAGCTACCTCTTAGGGTTGTTGTAAGCCTTAATACAATGCACTTGTTTCAGTGAAGTGCTCAAAATGGATTGGTTAATGTTATATTTGGGGATGCCTTGGTCAGTTAGGCAAGGCGTGCCTTTAGGAGGAGGGATATATTGGTTAAAATCTCTTTAGGTGAAATTTACAAAACCATCTGGGAGCTCTGAATATTCAGAAAAGTGGATTCTAGAGGGAGACAGTTACATTCATGGGGTTAAGTCATTATTGTTCCCATCAAAGAGAAGAAATATGCTGAGTCCTCAGAGCTGGCCACTTACTAGGAACCAGCATCTGTGTCCTGGCCTTTTAACAGGAGCTCTCCTTAATGGATGCGGTGATTGGTCCGTTTTCCACTTCGTCTTATCTGTGATAATGACTCCGTAAGTATAAATCTCTTTACCAAATTGTATACTGGGGAGACTCAACTGAATACAAGTGCTCAAAAATAGACTGAATTTGAATGCTGGGCAGTTTGATGCCCACCTTCCACACACATACCGCACAATACCTCAAATCGCATTGAAGTCAGCACTTGTGTCCGTGCCATTATTCTCGAAAAACCAAAATGCAGCCAGCAGATGGCGAGAGTGGACCATATTTGAAATACAGGTAAACTAGGTTTTCAGTAGTAGATTCTGGAGACACTACTCTCCTCAACTATTTTTTTGTTTGTTGTTTGTTTTGTTTTCCTTTTCCTTTGAATAGAGTCAGGTTTGCACCTCAGAGTGGAATTAGAAGCGTCGTGAAGGTAACTAAGGAAAAATACCAACTCAAAGTAGGGCGTAAGTTCTTTAAAAACATTGTTTTATTTACTCAGGAGGGTAAGCTTTGGAAGAGGAGAAGAGTGAAAGGCCAAATATTTTGGGCAATTGCCCAAATGTAGGTAGCTTGATTAAAATAGTCATTCATTTCTAGAGGACTCAGCGAAACTGCTTCCAAGTTACGTTCTTTGCATTTTACTCTCACGCATAATTACTGCCCCCAAATTGTGGGCTGAGCCCGAGAGGATAAATTTTATGGGTCATAAATGTTCTAAACGTTGTTCTTTTCAGGACTGCACAAAGCAGCATGAATTCCAGGGCTGAGACTTGCTTCAAGTTATCTATCTACCATCTTCAACTGCGTGCCTGCAAATGAGATGCCAAGGGTCACTCTGTGTCAGGACTTGGTAAGAAAAGCCATTGGAATGTTTAATTTTTCTCTGGACATAAAGCTTCTTTGTGCGCACTTGTATTGTAATGCTGGGACACACAGTTGTCCATGGGGCAAAAAAGAAGGGCTATAAAGAATGCAGAAAAAAAAATAAATAATATAAGCCAAGTGCACAGTTATCTAGGAAGGTAAATGTCGTGATTGGGGAAGTTTACAAAATATGACAATGATAGGAAATAAAACTTATCAACATGATGACTAAATATTTTCTCACTCTTTAAGACACCATTAAAATGGAAGATCCTTAGCTGTTTAAAGGATCCCAATGCTTTAGAATCGTGACTCCACGAGAGAGAAAGAATGCCAATATTTCCAAGTAAGCAAATAAGCAAGGTCAAGTTAGAAGGCCAGAGACAAGAAGCAGAGGAAATGTGGGTGTGTGAACGTGTGTGCAGAATATTGTCTTTGCTTTGTGCCACAAATGCTTGGCAAGACTATTGTCTAAGTTTGGCTTTAACATAAAGCTTGTTGTAATTTCTATGCCTAAATAAAAGGCCCTGCCTCTCTCCAAAATATCCTCTCAGTAATCTGTCTAGTTACATCTATCCACTTTGGGCAATTATTTAAAAACTAAACAACATAGACAGAACTATGAGAAACAATTGTTAAAGAAGGTTTCAGAATTAATTTTAACTTGGTAATTTTATTCCAATGGATGTCTTCATGGAATATCTTGAACAAAATTTTAAATAGTTAATAATAAAAAGAACTATAACATTTGTTTATTTATAGAAGTGTAAAGACTGGATGTGACTACATAAGAGAAAAAAACCTGAATAAAGTCAATATAAAACACAGATATTTTCAAAACAATTCATTTAAAACTATCTTTTAAAATTCTGAATCTAATAATATTCTTCAGAACATTAGTTGGCTGAATTTAACAAGCTTATTTTTTTAAAAAGCAAAAAAAAAAAGGTGCAAAGATTTTGAACATGAACACAGCACTTGTTATATTGGTGTGGCATTCAAAACCATCTTAAGGTTAAAAATCAGGGAAATCATTAGCACACAAAGGCATGTTCATTCATGAAAATGTTTTGTTGTGAAAATAAATAATTGACAGGCAAATTTATTTATGTTCTTAACATTACTGAAAAGTATACGGATACAAAATTGTGCAAACGGTTGGAATATAAGACACCATACATTAAAAAATAATTTCATAGAAAATATGATCCATCAATGAGTCCATAGTAGAAATATTTAGGGGGGTGATGTGATGGTTAACTTTTTCTGAATTGCTGTGTAATTTTCCCCTAAATTTTAATGGCCATGTATTTTCTATAAATATTAAAAAGACATGCACAAACATGTATGCGTGCATGTTTTAAGTCACCATTTTACATAGTTGTATTTCCAGCCTCAGTTTATTCTGCAAAATAAAGACATTCTTATACCCTATGGGTCTTTATCATAACAACCCTCTGAGCACCAAAAAGAGAAAAAAATAGATTCTTAAAATGGCTAAAAAGAGTTATATAGATTTTAGAGGTCATTTTTAATGACAACTATTATTAAACCAAGACTCTTATTAAGGGAGAAAGCATGGATCCTTGGTGATGTGAAAGGAGGCTGATTAGGAAGCTCACTCTTCTCCTATTATAAGGTTTTCTCCACTTACAAGATATTGGTGTCTATATGTGGAACCCTTAGAGACTTACCCCTTTGGATTAAAAATGTTTGCTTCTAGAATTCTTCTTGACAGTAAAAGTCTCGTGGCCTCGAAGAATGCCAGATGCCATTCATTTTTTGCATCATAAGGAGCAGCAAGAGACCGAAGGTGGGGGAGAGGGAGGCACAGGGTTTAAGGAAGGGAGGCTTCCCTCTGAACTAGGGTTCTGCCCCAGGCAGTTTCCAGTTAACATTGTCTGATCACTACAACTTCAACGCTGTTCACAAACTAAAACACAAATAATCTCAGGTGCCTGTAGCCTGCGCCTTAGGGGAAGCAGGATGGCCTGTTGAGACTCAGGCACCCAGGAACCTGAGAATCACCATGCATGATCCCTTACCTCTCCTGCCCTCTCCTCGGCTGTGCAGACAAGCCACCCCTCAGTCTTTGCTCCTCACAGCAGCCTGCCCTGCCTTTGCTGATGGAGAGAGTAGCTGTAGTTAGTCATAGTCAGCAGCTAAGCTAGGAGGGGGAAATGGTTTTGATAAAGGCCATAGGGCTCTACACTTACGGCTGCAAGGAAAGCTGATCTGTGCCTAGAATAATCTACTTGTAGCCCCTCAGCATTAGTGGAGCAATAGTTTGGTGCAAGAATCAAGAACTGCTTATATTCCTCAGGAAAAAAAAACACATTCATTTTTAGTAAATTTCCCAGAGCCCTCTTTTCTCCCTCTAAACCCTTCTGTGTGTACTTTTTTCCTACTGCCTATACTAACAATCTGTGAGAAGGTGAGGGGAAGATGGCTGCAAGCTTATTCAGAGGACTTTCTGTGCAAACCCAAGAAAGAGAGACCTATTTGCAACTCTGTGGTGGGGGCTCCCCCCTTTCTGCCCCAACCCTGTCATTCTTTGTCCAGTTTCCTGGGCTTTTGTGGGGGTCTAAAGAACTATTTGTCTTTTTGCATAGCAAGCAAAGGGGCAAGAGGAGAAAGCAGGGTGAGATGTGAGACACAGAAGAAAGGGGGACTCAGTTATGACTTCTTGAGAAAGCATTTAGGATCAGTCATCTTGCTTGTGGGTCTTTGGACCAATTGCTCTGCTTCCAACAAATTCCAGTCTGATTTCCCAATTCTAGTATACGTATTTGGTGTTCCATACTAAGTATTACATGTGCTACAGAATAGTCATAGGATAGAAAACTTCAACATACTCTACCTATAATCAGAATATTTTCAAAGGGTAAAATTCAGCATTTAACATATTGTATATGTAATAAGTAAGATACCCAATCTATGGCCCCTGGAAGCTTCCCCCTCCCCACCCCATCTCCTTTTTCTAATGCATGTTTTATTTTATAGGATCATGATGGTTGCCACAAATGTCTAGTAATTGCTGAAACTTGAGAGTATATATTCGCTGGAGAGCATAAAGAATTCCTAGGATGTAACCAAATTTGTTCATTTGAATTCTTTTGAAATCAGGTACAAAGGCAATAATTAAAATCTTTAGAAATAACCCTAAACTGGCATTGCATGTGCTCATGCAGAAAGCACTTCTACACGTTGTTAAAATCTTTTTGTCTTAAATGCATACGCAAAGGCAATCTCAAAGTGTGTATCACTATTTATAAACATGTTTTAGATATTTCTCCTACACAAAATCATCTATGATTCCATATGGCCTTCTGTGTGTGTGTGTGTGTCTGTGCATTACTTTTTAGTTAGCTTTGGGGGATTCTTTGGTCTTTCATCTCCCTCACTCTCTTTCTGTCCTTCTCTCTCTTCTCACAACAGGCTGCTAAGTTGTCCTTGAACCAGTTTTAGACTTGAAAGATTTAGTAAACAAAAACACTTTATAACGTTTTTGGTGGGAGTTTTTAACAGATGTATTCTTCCTCTGGAGGCTTTCCCCTCTGTTTGATCTTTTCCTCCAAAGCAATTCATTATAATATGATGGGCAAACACCCAGGCGGGATAATTGTACTGAAACAGGCCAGCAGCCAGCACGCTGCAGCATCCGTCCCTCATGCTGGGGGCTGCCATCCCTGCAAGGCTGCTCCAGCCACTGTGGCTGTGAGCTACTGAGACCCAGCGAATGGACAGGACAGGGAGGCTGTCTGGATTAGAAGATGGGTCAGAAGCTCGTCATTTGGGCTGAGTTTCTATAAAGCTACAGGAATAAGCCTTGCTCACGACCTTTCAGGAACAAAGCTTGGAGTGAAGCTGAGAAGGCAGAGATATTATCAAGATGGCTGATTAAGCAGAAATTTTGAATTATGTTTTTCATTATGTAATGTCGTCAGCTGCTACTCTTTGTAGTCACCAAGTCAACATGGAGAGGAACTCAACTTTTCCAGGACTAGCCACTGCATTTGTGCCTTTAAGCTGTGCTGTTCTAAGGCAAGCACATACCCGTGGCTCTGGGTGGTCGTGTGAAGGGAGTTTGTTGGGGGTAATTCCAGGTAAACACAGACAGAATCCTGCTACCCCTCTCTGGTAGCTTCTGTCACAGGAAGGTACAAATACCTTTAACTTCCCATTTCTTCTCTCAATGCCCAGCCCATATCACGTGGCACTGAGGGCTGTGACACGGAAGGCTGAGACCCTATTCAGTCTGCCCTGTGGTTGGCCTTTGAAGACACCACAGTGTGCCTTTGTTAGCCAAGACTTCTGACGTTGAGCCGTGATGGGTGGAGGTTGGAATTGGGCTGGGCTTCTTCAGGAACACTATTCTGCACCTGTTTAAATCTGACTATAGTCCTTTTGTATCCCATATTACCCCATAACAAATTATCACAGATCTGGTACCTTAACACAAATTATTACAAATTTTTGGCAGCTTAAAATATCTCAAATTTATTATTCCAGTTTCAGTGAGTCAGGAGTCCAAGCACAGGTTAGCTGAGGCCTCTGGTCAGGGACTCACCTCGCTGAAACCAAGGTGCCGGTCAGGGCTGCAGTCTCATCTGAGGTCTACATTCAAGTTCACTGGTTATTACTGACAGAGTTCGAGGCCTTGTGGTTGTAAGACTGAACCCCCAGACCTCAGAAGGCCCACTACTCCTTGTCCACAACGTGGCAGTTTGTTTCTTCAGAGCCAACAGGAGAGTGTCTCTGCTGACTGCCGCTTTCTCTCTGACCTGTAGACCCTCTTCTAAAGGCTTTTCCTGATGAGGTCAGGCACAATCAAAATAATCTCTCTTAAGATCAATTTAGAGTCAACTAACCAGGGACCCTAATTACATCTGCAAAATTCCTTCACTTTCCCCAGATAACATAATCACAATGTGACATCCCACCATAGTCACAGGTCCTTCAAGGGAAGGAGATTCTACAGAGGATGGACTTCAGGAAGCAGAGACCAAGGGAGAGTTCTGCCTGCCACTCTGCTCTGAGAACATTCCCTTTATGTTAAAATTTTAATGTTACAACCAGCTGATGGCCATTTTGGTTTGGATATCCTAACTAGGCATTGTAAATGTTTCATTATCTGCCAATAGTGAAAGAAATTCAAACTAGAAGTACCTCAACTATGATTATCTGTATTGGCATAATTTCACGCTTGCTGAGAATATTTGTAACTCTATGATTAATTGCAACTTTTGTTAACATCACATCACGTCAATCTAACTTGTGTATTTCAGAGAAGCTGAAAGATATAATTTTGAGATAAAGAGAACTTTAGAAATATTTAGTTTAGTGGTTTCAAATTTGGGAGTATCAGAATATATTTATTCTATTAATTACAATTATATAGGTAATAATTCATATACAAGTAACTATTGATTGAAAAAATAAGAAAACATATCTATAATTAATTCAATAACATTTTAATAACCTTATATTTTATTAATCACAAAAATCCATAGACATTTAAGAAATAGTGATATATATATATATATAATATAGATATGTGTGTGTGTGTATACATATAAAATTTGTTCCCTTCATTAACAGTTCTTGGGGTACACAACTTTTTATATCTCAAGCAATAAATCTATACCTGCCTATAGAAAAATTTTATCTATTCTAGTTTACAGATGAGGAATGTATCATTGAATAAATGTGTAAGGAAAATTAGGCAGGTGAATTATGTCATACCCTCAAGGTTCATGAAAGAACTGAAAGTAGAATAAAGACCCCAAGCCCTGTAAAACTTTGAACAGCTGTGCTGCTTCAACTTTGAACCACAGATATCTACGTTTTTCTGCCCTAAGACAGAATGTAAGTTAATAGGCCCTCTTTCCCTGATGTGGCTGAGAAACCACACATTCTCTACAAGGTAGTTGGGAGCAAAGAACAATTGCATGGGCAAGACAGAAAAAGATAAGGAAACTGGGTTAATTCTAAGTTCCTCTTGTTTGAGGCCCTCCTTCCATAACAATTATGGAGGAAGTGAATTAACCGAATCTAGGAAAAATTCAGATTCAACAGTAAGTTGGAAGCCATGCTTTACAAAAAAATGCAGTGATAAATCTCTTTGGATGATCTAGAGTTTGGGATTTTGCATATGGCTGTCCTCTTAAATTAAGATAGATAATGTATATTTGTGTATAACTCACAAGTACATTTATAGATACCTTTATTGAGATATAATTTACATACCATAGAACTCACCTATATTATGATTTTCAGCAAATTCACTGAGTTTTGCAACCATCACCAAAATCTACTTTTATAGCTTTTTAAATCACCCCTATAAGATCCTTTATATTCACTTACAGTTAATTCCCAATCCACTTCTGCATCTTTTCCTCTGCCTCAGCCCTAAGCAACCATTAATCTACTTTCTGTTTTTATAGATTTGCCTGTTCTCAACATTTCAAATGCATGGAATCACACAATATGTGGTCTTTCATATCTGTCTTTTTTTTGCTTAGTATAATGTTTTTGATGTTTGTCTATATTGTAGAATTTGTCAGAACTTCATTCCTTTTTATCACTAAATGATATTCCCTTGTATGGATAGACCACATTTTGCTTAATCCATTCATCGGTTGGTGAACATCTGATTTGATTTCACTTTGTGTCTATTATGATGATCCTATTATGAACAGTTAAGAGCAAGTCTTTGTGTGGAAATATGTTATTCTCTTGGGTAATACCTAGAAATGGAAGGCTGGGCCATATGGTAAAATAAAGGTGAATATTTTTAAAAGTTGCCAAATTGTGTTCCAAAGGGGCTGTCCCATTTTATTTTGCATTCCCTTCCATAACATAAGAGGCTCCCGTTTCTCTACATGCTCATCAACATTTGCCATTATGCGTCTTTTTGTTTTTTAATCATAGTCACTCTAGAGGAGGTAAGATGGCATCTCATTATGGCCTTAATGTGCATTTCCCTAATGACTAATGAGGCTGAGCATCTTTTCATGTGCTGTCAGCCAGTTATGTATCTTCTTTGGTAAAATGTTTATTGAAATTGTTTTCCCATTTTATAATTGGTAATTTACCTTATGTATTTAGCTATAGGAGTTGTTTTTATATTCTGCATATAAATTTTGTATCAGATACATGATTTATAATTTTCCCCAGTCTATAGCTTGTTTTTTTTTTTATTTTCTAAATGGTCTCTTTTAAAATGAAAAAGTTTTGAATTTTAGTGATGTCCAATTTGTTGAGTTTTTCCTTTTATGTGTCACACTTTTGGTGTCATATGTAAGAAATCTTTATTTAACTCAAGGTCTTGAATATTTTATCCTATGTTTACATCTAAAAGTTTTGTAGCTTTAGCTCATACATTTCAGTTTCTGATCTATTTTGATGTAATTTTTGTGTATGATGTGAAGTAAAAGTCCAAGTTCACGTTTGGGCATGTGACTATCCAGTTGTCCCAGAACCATTTGATAAAAATACTATGCTATCTCGTTTGACTTGCTTTGTGATTTGTGCTGAACAGCAATTGATCATAAATACAGAGGTATAAACTCACTCTTAAATATGACTCTGGTCTTGACTTTGAACATGAGAGATGTTCTAGGATCTTAGGCCAATAGTAGGATGGTGCTATGAGCAACTGGCAGTTGGTGAGCTTCTACCTGGTTATCACTTCCCTCTCTCCCATTTGATGTTGGTATTATCACTGGCACCACTCCAGCATGTGCAAATTACCAACACGATCTCATATATGTTTTGTTTTGTTTTGTTTCTTAATCAAATTCAAACATGTTAGCATACACCTTCCCTAGGGGGGAAAAACTGATGACAAAATATTGTGATTTCAAAGACATTTCTTCTTCCAACTTTGGATTAGTAGATGCTACATCAAATGAGATAATGCATGTGAAAATGTTTCAAAAACCATAAAACTCCAAACAAATGTTAGGAATTATCATTATTGCATGCAGCGAATAAGAGTAAACAGAAGCAACAGTAATGCTTTTAGAGGGCTTAAGTAGACAGAATAGATGGCAATGTCAACATAAGAAGGTAAAAACCAGATTTGCAGATAATCCACCTATTGATGATTGTTGAAAGTTGACTTTATCTGCATTACCTAAAGTATGAAGGAGTTGGGTCAACATCAAAGAGGCTTCTCTTGTTTAGTTGGATATGGTGGATAAAGCTGTCTTAATAATTGGTATGTTCTCTTGAAGCGAGGTAGAAACTTTGCCCTAAGATATTGATTTCTCTTGTTAATGGATGGCCCTCCTTCCACAGTGTAGGTGGAATTAACAACTGTTTTTATAACGCCAACTTCACTATGTTGAAAGCCCCAAATAACCTAAAATCTTTCCTCTACACAGTGAGATAGACACTTTGCTTAAAATTTCCAGACTTAGTGAACACTTAAGGGCAATTTATGAAAGTCTACATATTTGTATTGAGTTGAGACAGTGTAACTTAGACCCCACAAAACACTTTACTAGGATTATAACCCTTATTAATCCACTCACTATCTACTGTCATTCAGCAAACAGCTGAGTCCTGGAGGTTTGCACATATGACAGGTCAAATGTGAAGGGAAGGAATTAGGAGAATGTGTGGAACACTATGCAAATTTTTCTGGAGTTGGTAATTTACAGATGGAGAGGTCCAGGCACTTTAATAGGGAAATAAGGTCATCGCTGCTGCAGAGGTTGAAACACAGATCCCAAATGGAGGGCGGGCAGAGGCTGAGGGTTGCACTGTTTTCCTACAGCACAATTTTGCCTCAGGGAAGCCCTGACTTGGTGCTAATGATGAACATTAATGCATTCAGCAGCCAGACTGCTCCAAGTTCTCAAATCTTGAACTGATGACTCTGGTACATCATTTTATTTAGTGTTTCTCTGGGACCCTTTTCCTGAATCCTAATCCTGATTGTTTTATAGCAGTATTTCTTAGCTTTTGTGACCATAGCTCCTAAAGTTTGGTTATTTCTGTTCTCCTTATTTTATAGAACAGAGAGGTTCAGAATCTTGGCTTTCACACAGGACATTAGAGGTAGGTTATGATGATAATTTTAATTCCAAGGCCCTTAACCTACACAGGTTCAGACAATTCTGCCTAAAAAGCTTGAAAATCAGAAACTTGTGAGAAAACCTCTCTATAGCCACTGGGATTTCCCAGTAGCCCCCAATTCACTCCCTAAAATACCTTTTCTGTGAATAGTTAGGCAGTTGGTGCTTATAGCTTATGGCTCAGGAAAATTGGAGCAATGCAGTGATCATTTTTTAAATTCTCTTAGTTCAAAGACACCCTGTAGATTTGTTAATAAATCAAAGCACATATGGGGGGTAAGGAGTCAGAGGAAATGGGGAAGGGCTCCAAGCTCAGAGATAAAAATTGCCAAGAAAGAGCTTGCCTTTAAAGAAAGGGAAACTCGGAGCAGGAAGACAGAGGGGGAGAAATAATAAACAAGAGGTGTCTTCACAGTGCCCTGGTGTGACACACAACAGGGGCTGGAAAACATTCAACATTTGATGCTAGAGAACAGAAGAAGGCAGAAAACACATTCAGAGAATAACCTCACAATCTATCGCAAATGCTTCCATGCTGCTCTCATGCACAAATGCAAAGCAGAACTCTCCATGGACAGGGCCACTGACCACCCCAAATGGTCTTCTCTGCCAAGATCATGGGTTAAGCCCTTGTAGAGCAGGCTTTGCACCGGTCCTTTCACATTGCCCAGAGCTGGCCCCTGCCCATCCACTCTCACCCCCTTCATCTTTGTATTTGTCATGCCATTAAGCTCACAGTACGCAGCCAATTCAATAGGGAACACTCATATTTCCCAAATATACACATATATAAAAGTTGGAATTAAAAGGAGCTATTCTCTTTGATTTGGCCCTGGTGTCTTGATTGCTTTTTGTCGGGCCCATCCTGATTTCATCTTGGCCCTAGGCATTTGGGCAGGTACATTTTTATGGCTGACTTGGATTCCCTTTTATTGCACCATCTCCAGTGTTTTTCTCATGAGAATTTCCTTTGGCAGCAATTCTTAATCTTGTCCAACTTACTTTTAAGTGACACTGGATTCTTTTGCTGGCCTGTCCAGGGAACCACATTTAGCAGAGTCAAGAGATAGGGGAAGGTTTAGAAATGTTTAGGAAGGTATTGATACCTTTGGTTACTTATAGATCCTTTTGATTCTACATTTAGGCAATGTCCCTCCTCTGAGGTTCCCCCATGGGAGTTGTACTATGCCATCATTGTGTGGGCATTGACACCGGATTTACTCTCTTCCTTTCCACTTCTTCTAGGCTCAGCAGTCACCCTGGTTGTCTTCACCCACGTGGAAAGTTCCTGCCTTCTTACAATCCCACCCCTTGAGACACCCTGCATCCCAGCCCTTGAGACACCCTCTCCCAGGATCTTGGCACCGGTTGGGAAATCTTCAACTCTAATGTCATAAATTCTGACCGTAATTATCCCTGCATGTTTTGCCTTCACTTGTTCCCTATATGCAGATTTTCTATCCTATGTAGATCCTCAATGACATTTGATTCTATTGACTCTTTCTTAGTTCTTAAAACAGTTTCTGGCCTCAGCTTCATATATTAGTGAATTTCCTGCCATCTCCCTGGCCCTTCCTTCACTGTAACCTCTGTAGTTTTATCCTCCTTTACATAGTCATTAAATGTCATATTTCATATGACTTCATCCTACCCCCCTTCACTTTTCACTATGCTATCGCTCGATTGTCACTTCTTTTTCCATGCACTGAGACACTTATTTTTTAAAAAATCTGAGGCTAAGGTGAAGGAAGAAACCACTACTTATTAACTGAAACACAAAGCTGAATTTATTATTTACTTCATGGGATTTTTACAGTTTAGAGAATGGGTTGATATCAACCTGGAAGCATGATCGCTTGGGGAACACTGCAGTGAGATGGTCAACTTTTTTGTATGTTCACCAGAGTGAAGCTCTTGCCCATTGGTTGTCTTTCAAAAGAAGGACATTATTGCTCATTAACTGGCTTTCAAAAACCTTTCTCTGAGCAAATTATCATGGATTGATTAAGTGGGTTTAAGGCTGATTGTAGTGGTAACTTGTTACTGTAGCTACAAAACAATAAGTTGTTTCTGAGGAGTATAGGAAATTATTAAATTTCTTATTGAGCTGTGTTTTTAAAAAATTGAACTTCAGGCATCCAAATATGTATTCACTGTTCCAACTTGGATATCTCAAAAGCATTTGAACTCAACACATCCAAAGGAAAATGTGTGTTTTTCCTTCCAAACTTTATCTTTCTCTTGAAAGACACATCTGCCCATCCAGATTAGGATCTGGCAAACTTTTTCTGTAAAGGGGTAGACAATAAATATTTCAGGTTTCGCAAGACATGTAATCTCTATTGTGACTACTCAACTCTGCCACTGTGGTGCAAAGGCAGCCACAGACAGCACATAAACAAATGGGCATGTTCGTGTTCCAATAAAACTTTATTTTCAAAACCAGAAAAAGGCTGGATTTGGCCCATGGGTCATGATTTGGCCATCATGGATTTAGATGATCAAGACATAAACATAGGAAGTATTTCAGATAGTTCTTTCTCTCACAGGTACCATATCTATGCCTATATATTATGAACTTTGCTTTTTGTTGAGCTAATATTGTTTTATTTTCTTACAATATTTCCCCTCCACACAAAAAATATTTAGAAAATATCAAGACTTCCCAATATTAGGACCTTATCTCTGACCTAGTGTTTTTCTAGGGATAAACAAGTGACTCAAGTTTGACTAATCAGGGAATTTCTTTTTAATGGAGTTGAAATTTAAGAGAAATTTATTCTGCTCTGGCTGTGCAGATGGAAACCTAGGACTGCTGGTAGTACGTCGTTCCCCTACCCCCCGCCTCAATCCTCGCTCTTGCCTTGTCTGCTGTACAAGTAGGCGGCAAGGAACACAGAGAGATGGTGAGAGGGCCCTGGGCACTGTGTCCTCGGCTTTAATCATTGTCATTCCTGGTTTTCTTGTGTTTGGGAATTGTGAGCTAATTATACTCTTCTTACCTCACATTTTTACTCATGCAAAATTTCAAGTGACATGTAACCAAGGAATCCTGGCTAAACTAGACCTCTTAAATAGCTCTTGAATTCATTCACTGTTCTCCCTTGACACTCTTGCTGCTCAGCCTAAAGGTCTTATCACCTCATTCTGGGACTACAAAACTACTCCCCCTAGCACTGTAGATCTCTTGGCACCTGCAATGCGTTTTCTAAACTGCACTCAAAATAGTCATACAAAAATCAAAATCTGAACGTGGCATTTCCTTGCTGAAAATCTTTCCATGTTTCCATGTCTTCTCACATGTCCACCCTCCTTTTCCTATACCACATTATTTATTCCCTCTATTCTAGCCACCTCTGCCTCCTTTCAGTTCTTTCTATTATGTTTATCTCATGGCATTTGTATGTGCTGTTCCTTACTTCTGAAATGTCTTCCCTCGATCCTCTTCATGGATATAAATAGCTCAATTCTGTCATTCAGATCTCAACTCAATTTTCATGTCCCTGGGGAAACATTCCCTCTCTTTACATACCAGATTAGCCCTCATTTTTCTTCACTGTACCTTTTACACTCTGGTGGTACTTCAGAGATTTCAATATATTTATTAGTTATATAACTTTTCATGTTTCATTTTCTATATATCTAAATATTTCCCTACTTCATACATTTTTTGAAGACAAGGATAAGTATCTGTTTTGGTAAATGCAGAATATGAATCTATAGTTCTTTGTGACAGGAAGAACGGCCTTCAAAGATTTCCATGCCTTAATCTTTGGGTCCCACCAATATGTTACCTTCTTCAGCAAAAGAGTCTTTGTAGATTTGATTAAAGTTATGGATCTTAGGATAGGGAAGTTATCCTGGATTACCTAGGGGGGCCCAATCTAATCACATAACTCTGTAAAAGTAGAGGCACTTCACAGAGAGATGTCTCAGAGGGAAAAGGCAGCAGAAGGTGTGGCAGAAAGGAAATCAGAGAGATTTGAAGCACGAGAGGACCCAACTCCTCATTGCTGAAGGTATCACATGAGAGGCATGAGAAAGAATGCAGGCAGCCTCCAGGTGGAGACCATAGCTTGGCTGATGGCCAACAAGGAAATGGGGCCTCAGTCCTCCAACCACAAGAAACTGTATTCTGCCAACAACCTGAATGATCTTGGAAGCTGATGCATCCCTAGAGGCTCCAGAAAAGAACACAGCCCAAAGTGCTGACACTTTGATGTCAACCTTGTTAAACCTGGAGGAGAGAAACCAGCCCAGCCAACCTGGACTACTGACTTAGACTGTAGTGAAGTAGTATATTTGTTGTTGTTGCTGTTTTAAGCTGCTAAATTTCTGGTAATTTGTCACCACAGAAAACTAATATACACTTTGTATGTGCCTGACATGTACTAAGTGTCTAGTAAACTTTTAATGAATGGAGAAACAAATGGGCAACCTCTTTCTTTTCTAAGAAGTCAACTGTTGATGATCAAAGTTGAGTAGTCTCAGCCCAAATCTCTCTCCTGGGCTCTAGTCCTTATACGTCCATCAACCTAATAGAAAGATCTAACCCCATATTTTGCAGGCCCCTGAATTTAACATGTCCAGAAGCAAACTCATTTCCTTATCCCACTAACCCTGATCCCCATCATTGATCATCTTCCTTCCTTCACTCCTTTCATTCGATCTATTCTTAATTCCCTTGATTCTGTCTTATTAGCACTCTCATATTCTTTTATCCTTTATTCCATTGCTTCTTTTAGACTCTAACTAAGACTTGACCATCAAAGACTATTCAAGTCTTACATCTGGTTTTCATCTCCTTCTCCCTCTTTCCAGGCTATATGTCTCGACGCATCTACATGCAATATTCTCTCCTGCAGCCTCAGGCCACTGTTTATGGTGCCATCCTGCTGGCGACTCTGGACTCCCCTTTCAAGATACATCTTTTCTTCCAACGTTCATGCCAGCTTCTGATCCACCTGCTCATCCAAAGAGATTTGAGCCTTGTCTCCTCTGCACCTCACTCTTCTCTGTGCATGTTTCTTTTTATACAACCTATAACATATTATTACACTTATGTGCCTGCCCTATTGTCCTGGGCTTTATTCAGATGTGCATCACAGAGCTGGACAGAGGGGTGGGACAGGTTGCATGTCGCTAATGCTAGATGAATGAATACATGAACCAATGAGCTCTCCGATTGCCTGTTTTTGTGTTTGTGAGCAGCACTAGATAGGTGTGACTTGAAGTGTTGCCCTCTGAACAACAGCAGCAACACTGCCTGGGAACTTGTTAGAAATGCAAATTCTCAGTCCCCACCCACACACCATCTGCCCCCAGCCAACCAGCTTCTCTGGGAGTGGGGTGCAAGAATCTGTGCTTTAATAAGCCCTCCAGGTGATGCACATTAAAGTTTAAGAACCACAGCTCTAGAATACTACTCTAGTTTACTCTTAGAGGGTCCTGTGGAATGCATGTAGCTTAGCTGAGCTTCCCACTACACCCAACCAGGAACAGTGATTAGAGAAGGAGGGGGCAACAGGAGACACCCCAACACTGGAGAAAACTCCTGGCCATAACCAGCAATTGAATAGTCCAGAGTTCATATACAGCAAAGATCTGAAGGCAACCTGAGAATCTCTTTTATGTTCTGGAATTTAAATTGAGGCAGCAAATTTTTGTGGCTTTGCTTTTATGTTTAAATGGCACCACTGGAATTTTGCCTTGCCACAGAGTATGTTAGAATAAAGGAGAAAGGGGTGGAGATCTGTTTTAAGAACTACAGAGAGTAGGCTGAAGTATCAGCACAATTTTTCCTCCAACAGTACATTCTGGCCACAGAGAAAAGTAGCAAAATTCAGAACTAATTTCTCTTTTTCTCAAAACCTGGCACTTTCCCAGCCACCAATTGACTGCTGGCCCCTGAACCTGACTTGTGTGGCCCTGATGCTCTTACAAGAGTAATTTTTCATGAGTCAGTATAATTATCACCAAGGCACATTGAAACAACGCAGATTGGGATGTCGCCTTGCAGGATAGGGAGAAAAGGGGTTCCCCCAACTTCCTCCCCCAAACCCTGCATGTGACAAAATATCTCATATCTTCTTACACAGGATCAGATCCACCACCCAGGAGAATGAATGCATGTGTCTCACTTTCCTTTTTCTTGCAAATATTTGGTTGTGTGGGTTTGTCTGTGTGTTTGTGTGTTTCTGTGTGTGTGTACAAGTATTTCTCTAAGTATTTCTCTAAGACCATTATGCTTTTGTGTGGCTTTTGCTATAGACAATAGTATAGTAACAGAAGTACATACTGTTTTCTACCTATACATAATCACAAATGGTGAAAAAAAAATCTGAAAGTTTTTCCAATTATTGATTTATCTTTTCAGCTTCCTTCTTTCTTCCAAGTAGTATTTATATAACACTCTCCGAAAAGCAATGCTTGTAATTGTACCCAAGTGAATCATTGTAGTTTTCAACAATTCCAGGAGGCAATGGAGAAGTATCAAGTCTTTGAAAAAAAGACTGGCTCCATAGAAGTAATTACACTCACTTGACCCAAGTGAGCGTGCTGTGGAAAGAACACTAGCATTCCTCAGACCAAGGCATGCTATTTTCCATTCTTTGAGAATTAAACACATTATCCTAGTCAAAATATTTAAGATTTAAGAAATATCTGTTGGGTTCCTTTAACTGGAGTTTTTAAGCATTTCTTTTCTATAGAGATTGTGTGCAAGCATTCATATACAAAATTAGAAAAAAAATCTTTATGTAACTCTAGAAAAGTAATGCTTTTCAAGCCACCCAAAATAAGTCCATAATATTGATATTTGTATTTAAAATTTCTCTAATTATTGTAATGGCATTTGTTACTTATGCCAGCCATTGCCTTCAGTATGGCCTGCAGCTTCAAAAACAACAATGATTGGGCATTCCTTTTACCATCCGGATGGCTAACGAATTAGCAGATTCAACATTACTTTTTGAGGAGATAACTCCCTTTTATTTTCTCTGTGAAAGTCAAGTATAACAGATAAATGTGAGCATATGCCTTCTAATGCTCTACATATTACCAGAAATAAGTGAAGAAAAACTACTCATTTTGGACTTTTATAGAATGATCGGGCTTAGAGGTTTTAGGCATTCATCATCCATGACTCTGAGTCAGAGTGATCCAATCTGCCACTATACCAAAGAGAGCTGGTCCCTGTCCTTATCCCAACTAGTTAGGACAACTAAAAGAAGCTGAGGAGGCAGAGGTAATTCTATCCACAGGAAAATGTCCCCATTTTTTCCTTCTTTCCATATGCTCTGAAAGTGATGGATTTTTTTCTTCTTCTTGTAGTCACTGTTCAGCCAAGTGTTGTTTTTACCCAGTAAGGAAGTTGTAGCTCTCAGACCACAATAGAAATAACTCCTATAACATTTATTTCTCAAGGAAGAAGTCTCTTGAAACATGAAAAGGCTGCTTCCCAGTTAAAAATATAAATAAAATCAAAGTTCAGGGCTTCTACTCAATCCCCAAGGTGGCTTTCCATTAACAAGAGCCTCCACCAC